AGTGCAGGTAAATTTGCCTCCTTTTGGTACATTTCAACGAAATTTCTACATGATCGCACATCGTCTTTGAAAAGGACCTGAATGAATACCTAATACCTAATGCCACTCAGTGACGGCAGATTCCTGAGATTTTCGTCTCAAGCTGCGATGAAAGTGATCTTACCGGATCGACAAAAGTCAGCAAAGAGTACAGCTCTCCTGTATGGTTTTGAATAGGTGTTCCAGTCATCAAGAGGAACCATGCTTTACCCTTGTACTGAATAACTTTACAAATGAGATGGACAATCTGAGCAGCGGAGTGTGCTATAATTTCGTTGGAGAAGTTCAATTGACGTCATTCCGAAAAGTAACTTTGGAACTGATAATAACGTAAGCGCTTACCGGTTTAAGCTTCTCAGCTAGCTGCGTACTAGTGTTCTTCAAGTTATGCGCCTCATCCACTATAATAACATTGAATGAAAGCTTTGATTTCACTTGAAAGTTACTGAGCAGCTGACTGTCGCGACGGAAGATCTGAAGGCAGATTGTGTAGAGATGTAAGTAGAATATTTGGGCCACCCACGTGGTAAGGTACGACGAAGACCGTATTTTTTAGGAGCCTTGCCAGGTGTTTCAAAGAGCTATGGCAGGCCTTTTCGGAACCGAGAAAGGGGACAGGATTCAACAAGCCGCACGAAAACCTGCAATCAACAAAGCCCAATTCACTACAGAAGGGGAGGGGTGAAGATAGGAAACCTCTCAATTTCAGCGACCCAATGGTCAACTACCGATAGCGGACATAAGACTAAGAAAGATCCTTTCCCACGAAATTTCATCCGCAACATTAGCATAATTGCCTAAAACTTACCAAAGTGAGCAATCAAAATGGAAAAGTTTGATTGAGTTTAATGTATGTATAACAGTGCAAAAAGGAATAGAATGCCGAACAAGACTACCTGACAAGTCTTGCCTAGGCCCATTTCATCACCATTTATACCGCCATGTCCAGCCTTATACCAAGAATCCATTACATTTACTCCTTCTTTCTGGTACTCACGAAGTCTTAACCCTGATAAATAGGTGGCATGTAGACGAGGAATAGATGCAGTGGCATCGCTTACCACGTCCCTCCCATTTTGTAAGATTTACGTTAGCCATGCGGAAACCACAGACAAATGGCTGTCAAAGTAACAATGACTGAGATTTTCTCTGCAAATAATGTATAGAAATGCGGGTGTGTGGAACAGAAATGAGAGCTTATAGCATTACGACAATAA